CCACCCCACCCCCCCACCTCACAACCTGAAACCGAGCTTTAGGTTCCACAAACAAAACTGTGACAAAAGCCGAACACAGCTGGAGTTTTCTCTTTAGCTCAAAATCTGTGACTTTCACACTTTGGGAAATCTTTCCCTCAGGCAGGATCTTATATTCCAAAAATAACATTTTATCCATGGTTGTGTGTTAAATTGTTCTGCAGCGTTTAGGCTCCTGACAGATTTCTGCATATCAAAGACTAAAACAGTTGTCTCCCCTCCTTCCCATTCTAATGCAACGAAAACCCATCAAATCACAGCTAACATTCTGCACTTTAGGGACAATTTCATCATGTGATTGTTTTTTTTTTCAGATTTACAATAACTGCGTGCAGCAGATAGAATTCAGAGTTAATGCAGTAAGAAATGAAAGGCCCGGCATTCTTTGAAGCAATCTAATCTGAGTTTTAAATTAATGCAAATAAATGAGGTTAGGGACGTTTTTGTCCACATTATCAACATCCAATACTTATTTTCTGCAAGTTTCATTAAAATGCGTCCACTGTTGTGAGATTCTTTGCTAAACAGACTGTCACCCACAGACAGGAGCAAAACATCATCTCTGCTGTGCTTTTCGGCTGATAGTAAAAGCTAATAAAAGATGAGGTGGAACAAAACAAAATCAGAATCTATGCCATGCACAGACATGCAAGCAGAGGAAAAAAAAAGGAATTTGCAGCTTTGTGAAATTTGTCTCAGGCACAACCTGCAAACTCCATTTCACACATTACCCACAGCCTGCTCGTGTCATGTCTGAGAGCATCTCTGTCACCAGTTAGAAGAAATKAATAATCCAGGGGATTCTGAGCCCTCAGGAAAATAAAAAAATATAAATAATTGTGATTATCAGAGTTTGTTGAAATCATCATTTGTCTAGATGGATTATTGACCTTTTGATGTAGGATTTGAGCAGCAGCTGCTGGTTCTGCTTCCAGCTCTTCACTCATCAGAGATCTGAGCAGCGAGGTGCTTCTGTCAACACGCTTTTAAAACCCAAAGCTCCCGATGTTCACACAACTTTAATGAAAGTGTCTAATCTGAAGGCGAAAGTCATGCAAGGATGAATCTATGACCAGTAGAAGTCCTGGAGAAATGGTTTATCACCCGCCGCCGACGGTGGAGCAAGAATGTTTTAGTCTGTTTGTAACGTTCACCTCATGAACCACTGAGTGGGTTTTATTTAATCAACACATGAACTTTTGGAGTTGCCTCAATTCAAGATGGCCGCCACAGTGGAGTGATGTTAACACAAAGAAGTCTCAGTCAGTTTGACAGATATTGAGCTAAAATTGAAGGTGGTAGTAGCTGAGCACTGTCCCCCTCAGTGCAATGCTTTGAAACGTTGGTAATGACTGTCAGTCAGCCCTTGTTTCTGTTAGCAAAATACCTCGCTACTCAACAGATAATGAAACTTTGTGAAAGTATTAGTTCTGTGAACGCGTGTAAAGCGTTTAATTACATGTAATTACCAAGTAATTAAAAATAACAATTACATTGTAATTACCATGGTGCCATCACATGTGAAAAGTTGGTTATTACCATGTAAAACGCATGTAATTACCATTTTATTACAATTTAATTACATGGTAATAATGTTGTAATTACAATATAATAATATGAATATTTTTAAATTAAATTTAGGACGGTATTAATTATAATGTAATTACATGATAATTACCATGGAACATCATATGCAATAAGGAATTAACATTATATTTACATGTTATTACAGATATTTTAATAAGGTAATAATTACCATGTAATTACATAGAAATTAATGGTTCTATTACATGTAGTAATGTAGTAATTGCCATGTAATTATTTTTTTAAATTACATGGTAATTACCATGTAATTACATGTTAAAAAGGGTACTGTAAAAGAAAGCATTACCCAGCTCTGCTCATCCCACAAATGTGGCACCATTTAAAAGGGAATTTAACAGGCTTTTCAACGTTATAGGATTTATTGCCAAGAAGTGTTTTTACAACAAAGAAATAATCTACCAAACACAAATTTCCTTATTTTTTGTGTTAAGTTTATTCACCTGTTTATCGTCCCCTGATGGAGTTTAAAGTCCATCTTCAGCTTTAGGTGACATAAAACCAAAATAAAACCTCTTCATCCTTCATCCCCTGAATTAGCAGCTACTGTTGGACTCATCATCAGTGAGCTGCAGGGGGTCCAGTCACCCCTCGTCCTCTCTGCTGGGCTCGTTTAGGCTGCTCTCTTGTGGCCACTGGAGGTAAAGTTTGACCCGAGGAAAGGCCAAAGGCCTGACAGGAAACAGCAGCTGTCAGCGCGCTGGCTGTCTTTTATAATTAGGAATTATTTCAATATATAGAAAAAAAAAGTTATTATTTTTTTAAACCAATAAACACACAGATGGTTGGTGAATCCGGCGCGGATTTGGCGCCTGGCAGTCCGGGTTTTCCGTCTCTCCTCCTCCTCCTCCTCCTCTTCCTCCTCTTCCTCCCTCCTTTTCTGCTGCTGTTGTAGCTTCACTTGTTCAGCCTTCAGAGGAGGAGGAGGATGATCTATGATTGGCCGGGCGGGGACTGGTAGTCCGGAGCTCCCCGTGTTCATGTTTACACCTTGCTGACCCGGACGAGGCGAGACGCGTGGGGGTCCGGAACAAACTCTGGACTTTAGTCTTTGGGTTTTATTGAGGGGGGGATTTTTTTTTTACCCCCTGCTTGACAGCTTCTACCCGCGGCAGTCTTTTCTTATTTATAGTCGCGAAGCAACTTTGGTTTGTTTCCTGGGAGCTGGAGCTGTTTGGATGTTTGGTTCAATCCGCGCAGAGACGCGTCAAAGTTCTCAGTGCGCCTTTTTGGGACTCCAGACTCTTCCTGTTCAAAAGCAGGAACGCAAATCCTCTTGGAACTGTACGGACAGATTTAAACAGGACCTGTAAAAACTTTGACCCGGAACGGAGTAAAAGATCCCGTTCAGACGCGCGGTTCGGTGATGGATGTGCTGTTTGCGCCAGCGGACAGGAGAGTCACTGATTACTGAAGCGCTCAGTTCTCCCCCCCTCAGTTAATGAACTCCAAACCCTCCGGGGCCGGTGTCGGTGTCGGGCAGGAGAACCTTGCTGTGGACAACCGGAGCCGTTCCCGAACGGCGTAGCTGGGAAAGATGCGCTCTCCTCGGATGCGGTGCGCGCAAGTTGTCGGTCCTCGGGTTTTCCTCCTCCTGGTGCGGCTGTGGCTCGTGTCTGCTACTGGTGAGTTCAGTTATTAAACTGTCATCCCGCTGGCGCAAACACAACCACATCTTTAATGTTTTTACTCAAGAAGTTACCTTTAAATCCTGTTAAAGAGGAGGACAGCAGTCTGTGCTGACCTGTCTGTTTTTCAGCACACAGCAAAAACAAAGTCCTGAGTCTGACAGTAAAGCTCAGCTCAGACTTCTCTGTTCTACTTGGAGCGGAAAAATCAAAGTCCCCTGGTGAGCAGGGAGTAATTAAGGTTCTGCTCCGTGCCTCCCTGGCCTCTCCGGCAGGGAAAAGCAAAGGAGCCATGATGGTGAAATGAAAAGAAGACTTGATAAACTTTAAGGGGAAAGATGCTGTTTCTCAATAAAACACTGAAGTGGCGAGTCTGCACTCTAAAAACACGAGACTGATACATTTATTTCACTATAAACTTTAAAAAATAAAGTTCTTACCAAATCAGACAACTGGTTCAAACCATTAAATCATATGGGACAATAATTATGCAGTAAAAGAAATGGGCAAAATTAAGCTGCTTTGATTCTCACAACACCTACATTTTATTTCTTAGTGTGATTTTTTAAACAGTTTTATGAAATATGGAACTTTATTGCCACTATATATATANTATATATATAATTCTAGTAGTGCAAAAGAATGATTTTAATCAGCTGATATCTATTCCTGTTCATTCCTAATCAAGTGGGAAAGTGAAGATGCAACAGAAGCACAGTTTATTTTTTTAAGCCAGAATGATCTATATATTAAAGTGTATAAGTTCTTATAAGGGTTGTTAGATGTGTTCATTTAAATTGAGCAATTATAGTTGTATTTTGTTAAATAAAATATACATATCGACCAAAAAAAATCAACCTTGCCCTAATTTCTCAAGAGAAACTTGTATCGGTCCATCTCTAGTTGTGTATTTTAATTTTTTTTAAAGTGGAAAAGTTGCTTTCTGAGACACAGAACTCAAACAGGAGGTGTTTATAAGAAGCAGCGTTCACTCGTGTCTGACACGTTCTGGTCAGCAGGTTTGCCACTTTTATTATTTATTCTCCTGTTTCTACTTCCAGTGTTTGAATAAGTACAGAAACGCCTGACCAGAACCCAAAAACAAGACAGAAATCAGAGGCTTTAGTGGATTAAGCTTGGTTTACATTAGGTTAAATTAAAAAAAAAAAACAACAACACAGGGAGCAGAACTCCAAAACACATAAATCTGATCCTCTGGTGAACAACTCCATTTTTCTTACTCCATGATAGAGGGAATCTTTCTGTAGAAACACTGACTGTCTGCCAAGAATGTTGCCATTTCTATGAGGGCCAATAAGTGCCCCCACCTCCCAACGCCCACGCCTCCCAAGGTCCTCGTGTGTTATTCTCTTGAACAGGCAGAGCAGAAAAGCAGCTTACGTTTATTAAAATTGCGGGCCGCTCAGAAATCCTTTCATGAGAATTCAGCAATGTTGATAAAACGCAGCCGTGGGGAGGAGGGAACTGTAAAGTTTCTGTCTGGGAGACAGGAAGGCAGAGATAAAGTGATGGAAGAAGCGATGGGACGGACAGATTGCATTTATCTTCCCTCGCGGTGCGTAAATGTTTCCTCCTCCTCGATCCCGTCTCACTTCCTACCTGTGCTGCTGAGCTTTCTGCTTTTCCTTCTTTCCCCTGTGTTGACATGTACATTAATTACCTGGAATGCCAGGAACACTTGTCTCGAGTTACTTTCCTGCAATCCTCTCTTCTTGCAGTTTGTGTGCCGTTATTAATGGCTTCATTAGAATTAGGAGTCCGACTAAAGTAAGATGCTTGTAAAGGACAGAGGAGCCAGCTGTCAGACTAACAGGTCATGATCGATGCTGTCATGAAAAGAAAACATTAAAAAAAGTTGTGCAGAGTGTGTCATCTTTTGTGTTAGGACTGAGAAGTGTCTCCATCTAAAAAGCTTCAAAATGAAATTTAAATTTCCTAAAGAAATTGCATATTGCTCGCCGCATTTCTGCATAAATAATAAAAAAGTAGATTTAATGTTTGTTGGCTCTCATATCTTGTGTTGGGGATGACTCTCAGCTACTGTTACACCAAATATTGGCTTATTATTGAAACCGACCAAGTTGTAGCCATTTTTGTGTTTCAAAAGAACGATTAGATGTAGCGATTCTCCCGAGTCAGGTTGACTCCAAAAGTTAATCGTTTGTAAATATTCATCCAAGGATTAATTTCTGGGCGTTTCATCAAAATCCATTCAATGGTTCATGAGATTTTTTGCTAACAGACAGGGTTGACTCCAAAAGTTAGTACACAACTTTTAAACAAACACACTGGACGTTGTGTTAACACCAGGGCTACCACGATTAATCGATTAATCGACAACTTATCGATTATTAAAATAACTGACGACTAATTTAATCAATTAATCGTTTTTTGTTGTTCTTTACTTTGTTTTTCTCTCCAAACTGCTTTGACACCTTCCACTGCCACATCTGCCTTTTTGTCCTCGACACACATGCACAGTAGTGGTAACTGGGGTAGGCCGTGGACGTCACAAGACATTATACAGACAGGCTCTGGTATCATGGCTACCTGACAACAGAGCTCAAAGTGTGGGATCTTTTTAAGAAACCTGTGCAATATCTGTAAGGCAGAACTTGCCTTCTACAGCAGTTATTTTTAGTTAGCATATAGCTAAAATCTAACGATGGTTATACAATAGCAGCTGCGCTGTGGCGTGATAAGCTGTATGTTTTATATTCAATTAACGTATGATCTGATTAGTCGACTAATCGAATAAATAATCGGTGATTAATCGATTATAAAAATAATCGTTTGTGGCAGCCCTAGTTAACACTCACAGTATGTGATGAACAACTTTCACACAACCACATGAAAGTTTGGCTTTGAAATCAGTGACCAAGTTCTAACCGTTGTGTTGATCATCTGTGGCGTGCATCTTCAATCCTGTTGACTTCAAAAGTCAGTGAGTTTTGATCACAATTTTTAAAAATGTGTAGATGTTTATGAGACAAAGGCAATGATATGATGGCCAGTCTTCTGTGTTACATCCTTGCTCTACAGAGCGAGCAGCAGCCTCTTCCTGGCCGCGGCGTGCATTTTTTAGCTACATGTAAAGAAAGGAATGTGACATCCGAGCTAACCTCAAGCTAACACCTAAGTAGATTTGGCTTCAAAGACACTCAACAGATTGAGATGTCAGATTAGATTTGAGTGTCTCTGAAACACACAGTCAAAACAAAAGTGCTGCCAGGCTGTTGCATCTGCAGAGCTTTGTAGGCTGGTGGTTTGAGACAGACTGGTTCTGCTCACAGCGGGCCGGGCCAAGCCGGGCCGCACTCCGTCCCGGGGCAGTGCATTAGTTTTATGGCCGGCAGACGGCAGGGGATGGGATCGCTGGGCAGCCACAGCCCTCCCTGCTGTATTATTCATACGTGCAAAGTGGTCTTTGTTAATATTTAAAATGTGCTTATGATGCTCAAATTCTTGACATGTGAGACGGCAAAAGAGACAGAAGTGGGACGGAAACAGCTGCTGAGCTCTTTATAGTAACCGATACGGACGGCTACAGTAAGTTGTGAAGGATTTTAGGGGAGGAAGATGCATTTATGGTTCAGTTCAGGAAAGCACGCTGGGAGCTACAACAGATGAACTAAAATGGAAAAAAGTGTTAAGAGTAACGCTATCCATCTGAACGTAAAGGAGACGAAAAGAAAATGAGCTTGAAGGGAAATGAATCTGTAAGCAACACACCGAGGCCTTGTCTATATGGAACGACTTTTATTTCAGAATCTGGTTTTATCCTCATGGAAAGGCAGAAAACACAAAATGCTGTAGTAACTATGCCAGGCCTGTTTGTGGCGCTGTAACTCCAGGACAACACAACAAAAACAGGAAACAAGAACTGGAGCGTGCACAAGTCAGGGAGACTGTTTGACACGGCATACAGTCTATTGTTTTAACAGCAGAGGTGAATAGTAAAGTACATTTGCTTTGTTACAGTAAAGTATTTTTTACTTTTATTTCATTACATTCAAAACATAAAAATGATACTTTTACTTATTTACTTTAAAATATAACACCCAGTTTTATTTAAATACTTTATCACTGAAATTCATTTTCACCAAACTCATTTTCTGTGTAGGTATTTTTACTTTTACTTTTTTTCCCCAAGTACTTTCTCTGCCTGCTGTAGAGTTTATTGTTGGAAGTGTGAACTTAATCTGAAAACCCCACATTTCAATCTGCAGTCTGTCTGGAAAACTACTGAATTAAACACTTTCTGCACTACCTCACATAATACTGTGTAACCTGTTTTAAATTATTATTTTTTTATTTTTTATTTTTTATTTTTGCAATGAGTACCTTTTTAAAACTTCAGGACCACAGCAGTGCAGGACAGGGCTGACTGGGACTCCTGTCAGTTTAAAGACATGAACATACAGTATCTGATGATTTCAGGCCCAGTTTTCAGAAAAAAAAAAAAACAGCTGGAGGGGCAGGATTACCTCACAATGTTCAAAACATAACAAGGAAATCTTTTTATACACAGGATTCATTTTAAAAAAAACTATTTGTATTCCCCACATTTTAAAACTTATACAGCATTTGGGTGTGGGTTTGTTTTATTGCATTAAAAAGTGATTAAAACCTTTTTAGCCTTAGATGATGATTATTATGATTATTATTATTATTATTATTATTATTATTATTATTAATTTTCGCTCTGTTTAATTTAAAGCAATGTTGTCTGTTCATTGAATTTATACATTATATGAAGGTTTTGCTGTAGTCATGCTATCATCTGCAGAAAAATGCAAGCATATAATCTGTCATTGATGCTCCTGTCATGCTACAGATTGGAGGTTAGCTTTAAAATGGCTCTGTGACATCATCGTTTTTTCAAGGTTGCTTTTAGGCTTTGCACATAGATGCAAAGGTGGCATTTAAAATTCATTTCACTCCAGAACCCAGTTCCTCCCTCCCCCAAAAAATAT